AGTTGTTAAACATGGAAGACTTCCAGGTCCCAAGAATTTATCAAGGCTCTGTCTCAGTCCGCGGCTCAGCGCAGGGCCTTGCTCCCATTAGATGCATTTGCTCTGTTCTGGTCCCATTCTTTCCTTTGCCCTGAAGCCTTCCTTCCCCTCAGCTCAGCTCAGCTTGGCTCCTTCCAAGAAATGCTTCTGCAGACAGCCAGCAGCTGGTGAGCTACAAATGGGGCTCGAATGAGAAGGAAGGAAAAGGGCTGAGACAGAGCTGGGGGAGCCTTTGGAGGATTTGGTGCTGCTATTCTATGAAGAAGAAGGAAAGAAAAAAAAAGGAAGAGGGAAAAAGCTTTTTTCTCCTCCTCCTCGTTGACTTGATTTTGACCCTCCAGAGGTGCCCTTACCCAGCATTACAGATTGGCAAGAAGTTAAAGGCTCTGGGCTTTGCCTTGGGCCTCTGAAAAGCTGAGAGGGGAGGGAGGTGGGGGTTGGGAAGGCATGTGGGTGTGAATATGCCAGGCTGCATCAGGTTCTTTGACTGTGCTAAAGCCTTGGCTCATACATTAAGCATGAGCCGTATTTCCAAGCAAAGTTTCCACCATCAAAGGGAAGGGGCCCCAGCAAGCCCCATCCAGTCATCGACCACCATCAACAATTGGATCCCTTCTCTTCCCTCCCCACTGAGGAGGTTCACATTGACTTCCAGGCTCCAGCTCCCCACAGAGATGCTGGCCTCATGCTGAGCAGCTGTCTCTCCCCTCAATGCCACCCCCCCAACCACACATACATACTCATCTTTTCCCTGCATAGAGAGGGAAAGGGGGAAAAAGGGGGGAGAGAGAGAGAGAGAGAGAGAGAGAGAGAGAGATGAACGGAGTGGTGAAGATGAGAGAAAGGAGAGGGGGAATGAGAGGGAAAAGGAGATGGAGGGAGAGAAGGAGGGAAGGAAGGAATGAGAGGGGAGAAAAGGAGAGAGGGAGAGAAAAAAGAGGAGAGGGAAGGGAGGGGAAGTGGAAAAAGAGGTGAATGGAGAGGAGAAATAGATGGAGAAAAGGAGAAAGATAGAGATGGTGCTAAAAGGAGAGAAAAATGAAGAAGAGATTGAGGGAAGAAGGAAGAGAGGCAGAAGGAGAAGGGAGAGAATGGGAGAGATAAAGGAAGTAACAAGAGAGAGTGAGAAGGAGCAGAAGATGGTATGAAATGAGAAAAAAAGGAAAGAAGGAGGAAGAGAAAGGGAAAATCATAGATAGAGAGAAAATGCAGGAGTAAAGAGAAAATGAAGGAAGAAGAGAGAGAAAATGAAAAGGAATAGAAGAAAGTAAGAGGAGAGATGTAGGGAGAAAGGTAGGTGTAGAGGAAGAGGAAGAGAGAAGGAAAAGAGAGAGGAAAAAAGGGAAGCAAGAGAGGAGACACAGAAAGAGAGAGACACAGAGAGAGGAGAGAGACACAGAGAGAGACAGACAGGCAGACAGACAGAGACAGAGAGACCGAGAGAGAGGTCAGGAAGCAAGCTGCCTTCAGTCAGGTGAATGGAAGAGAGACTCCTCATTGCCCCTGGGGAGCCCATTCCAGCTTTTGTCTCCGGATGGTCAAGAAGCTTTTCTCTGTGTCTCACCACCATTGCTTCCACTTCAGTCCCAGCACAACTTTTTCTGCCTGCCCCTTTTTCCATTTTCATTAGTAGGAGGAGCAAGTTGTGCTGGAAAAGTGAAGAATGAGAGTAGATCAGACTCACATTACAGCAATTAACAAGGTGAAAGTGTAACACCTACAGGGTTCGTTCCTCAAACAAATCCCAGTTAATGGTGGGGGGAGTGGAGGAGAGGGGTAGGGGGTGGGAATCTCACTTTATACCTGCCTCTGGGCAATAGAATCATAGAATTCAGAGCTGGAAGAGACATTAGACATGAGCTAGTCCAAATTCTTCATTTTACAGATAAAGAAACTGAGGCCTAAGGCAGTTAAGAGACTTAGTAAAGGTCTCACAGGTAGGAAGTCACAGAGTCAGGATTTCAACCCAGATCTCTGATTCTGACCCCAGTGTTCCTCCCACTATATCATACCGGTTAATAGCAGTATTCTCTCCTGGATGAATGCCAGCAATGATACCACTAATCAGAAAATAGAACTTGTAATTTCAGCTTTCTGCAAGGATTCCCCTCACCTCTACCTTGAAAAGTCCTCTGAGACTTTCTCTTGGGAAAGTAATAATAATAACAGCTGACCTTTCCTTGTTTAAATCAATTCAACATTCATTTCTTAAGTGTCTACTATGTGCCATGCACTAGGCATACAAAGGCACCAAGGGAACAGTCCCTGCCCTCAAAGAGCTTCCATTCATAGGATCCTAGATCTAATGGTGGAAGGGAGGCTATTGAGCCGGCCCCATCACCCCTCACTTAAAAGCCGACAAAATGGAAGCCTAGTGACTTGGTACAAGAGGAAATTTCAAAGGTAGAACTTGAACCCAGCTCTTCTGACTACTGAGCCAGGTTCTCTGATTCTGAATTCACCATCTTCTCCACTATATCTTGCTGTCTCTCAGATAAGCAACTACAAGATCATTTGCAGAGGAAAAGGGCACTAATGATAAGGGCATCTTCCTGTAGGAGATAGGATATGTCACTTTACCATTTCAAAATACTTAAATTTTCCCATCTGAGCTTCCCAATGGATCTGTGAGGGAGGCAGATCAGAGATAGTCATTCCCATTTTCCAGAGGAGAAAAACTGAGATCTGAAGGATAGGGTACTTTTATAGTGCCTGGCACATAGTTAGTATTTAATTATTGTTCTAACTACCTATCTATATACCTATTTATCTATCTTCTATCTGTCTGTCTGTCTACCCGTCTATCTATCTATTTACCTATCTGCTATTTATCTACCTATCTATCTATCTATCTATCTATCTATCTATCTATCTATCTATCTATCTATCTATGGTCTCTCAAGAAATCAGGGGTAGAGCAGGAGATTTCTGTCTCCCAACTCATACTTTCCACAACACAGAACTTGAGGCAATAGAAAATGGTACTAGAAAAGAAGAGGAGTTGGGGAAAAGGGAGGCAGAGAGCTAAGTCTCTTGAGCATCAATGCCCAGGGCAATGTCAGTGCCAGCACAGGCTGGCATCAAGGGGCAATGATAGGTCAAGACAGTCAAGTTCTCTGTTGTCTCCTAGCTACCCGATGGGCTCTAGAATGGCTCCCCACCTCCTTCTCTTTCCTTCTTCCCTAGGCATAGGGAATGGGCAGGGGGAGGGGAAACATGGAT